GGTTTACAAAGCAAGACCAGTATTTGAAAATATACTGCTGATTACCATATTTGTATGCTGTAAATCTTCAAATGCCCAACAAGATCAGGAGCTTAATTGAAGCCAGTGGAATCTTACAGTCACTAACGTTTATAAAGCAGTAGTCTACAGTTCGTTGAACTGACATCCAACCTCTTACGAAATTGATATTTTTCTCTCTTCTAAGTATCGACACATCCTCCATTGCCTAAAACAATCACTCAGAATGACAGCGTGTTTGGTAACATCTCGCCTTTTTTACAGGTTTTTTCCTCTGGAGACAGTTCCTAATTTACCTTTTACTTTTGTTTTTAATTCAATCAGCTGATGGTGCACAGCTGATCTCACTGATGCATACAACTGCTCACATTTAAGAAAGCCTGAATACTTCATGCCTGACTCAATGATTTCAGCTGGAGAATTAGTAAACTTGCTAATGACCTAAGAGATCAAAAATGAAAATGAAGAAAAGAGAACACAAAATATACATTTTAACAGGTTTTTTATTATTTATGTATTTTGTTTAATCAGGGAATCATATTGTCTTGCATACTTGGATTAGTTTCATACTGCAAAGGAAATGGGGCTTAAATTATTTTCAGTGTCCCAGCTATTAAGTGCCAAGGTTTTCTAAATGGAGGCCCCCAGGCCACATATATCTGCATGCCTACTTCACACCCATACTTGTGGAGATATCTGATTTGGAGTCCCATTGGTATAAAAGAGACAGAGCTGCTACAGGGCTGGGTTAATTCTCCAGGAGGCCTGAGGCTAGTAGATTTTGTGGGTGCCCCACGGTTCCAGGATAGGGCAAAAAATGAGAGAGGTTCAATGTTCAGGAAGAGGGGGACGGAGGTATGGGGCCTGGGCAGGAGATAGGGTTCTGTGCAGGAGTAGGGGGATGGTTTAGGAGCAGGCAGGGGGTGAAGGTGAGAGGTCTGGGTGGCAGGGAGGGTGCAGGAGCAGGTTGAGGATGGGAATGTGGGGTCTGAGGAGGAGGTAGGGTGCTGGAATAGGCTGGGGATGCGGGGTCTGGGAGGAAGAGTCAGGCAGGCATGGGCTAGGGCAGAGAGCTTCCCTGAGTTCTCAGCAACATGCACTGCTCCAGCCCAGGGTAGGAGTGGGAACAGCAGCATGCAATGCCACCTCCTCTGCCACCCTCCAGCAGGCAGAGCTGGCCAGAGGCACACAGGGGCTTTAGTGGCTGCATCCCAAGACTCTGGGCTAAGGGAGTCCCTTGCTTAGCTCGGAGTCCTAGGCTGCAGCCATTAAAGCCCCTTTCATAATCCAGCTCTGGGCTGCTGGAAAGATGATGTGGTCAGGTCGCCGGGCCTTTAGAATTCCCTGCTTTTGGTCCTCCCTTCTCTATGTATCCCATGCCCTTTCTACACAGCTTGTACCCGTCCTCCCCCATGCTCTCTGTGTTCCTCTAAACAATGTTTCTCTTCTCATGGGACCCATCCACATACTGTTTTCACCTACCCCTCTTAACCAAAGACTTCCTTATTCCTAGTGCCCTCTGCTGCCCATCAGCCCTCTTCTATCTACCTACCTCCATACCCTGCCAAGCAATCCCTACCGCCTCACACCCCCACATATGCTTTATATGCTCCTGCTCAACAGTGAAATGGATGAACCCTGCTGACTTAGCTGCATCGACAGTGGCAATTTGGGTGGCCTCACTACATCACATGGGACACTTTTCACAAACCTCAGCAATGTAGCTAGGTCAACCTAAGTTTTACTTTTAGCCTAGTCAGAATTCAGATTTCAGAAATTTATTTCCTTTCAACAAAAATACTAAAAAAAAATCCAGGAAGTCACCCATAAAGACTATATTAACAACCAGACCAAATTCATCTCATACATTTTTCAACTCCACAGCAAATTTCAGCTCCAGGTATATCAGGGGTGGGCTACAACAGTTGAATTAATGGAGATGTAGGATGATTCACTACTATTACTCCAATTTTAAGCAGATTGTATAGCAAAATACACTTTTACCCCAAATCCCAACATTCATTACAAAATGCACAGAACACAGACTAATAAAAGATAATCAAAATAAACCAAAGGGATTACATGATCAGTGTTCCCTGTAAGATGTGCGCTTGTGTGGCCTCTCAGAAGAGATTCATATGCTGCCCGGCTGATTAGCAGAATGCCCACAGCTAGGTTTCTATTTCTACTGATGGTGTGCATTCTCACATGCTTTGGAGCACCTAAAAATGTATTCCACGGATGGATACAATTTTCACAAAAATGGGAAAGATTAGAGGGAACATTGATCATGACTCTCACATGGACAGCCCATAGTTTATTCTGAGAAAGTGTGGAGGATGGCTGCAGAAACACTGAGGTAGCTAGGGAGGGACAGAGTTAAGGATATGTACAGAACCTTAACTATGATTTTCTTTGCTTTTTGTGGTTTTAAAATGCTGCCTTTCACTTAGAATGTACAAATTGGCAAACATTTGTTCTAGTAAGGCTTTTCTGTGTTGGTCTATCATTATAACTGTAATTAAATGGTGTTTTTGACTTGAAGTTTCCCTAGCTTCTTTCAAATATTTGTATAGCCTCCCTGTAGGTGAAAACTTTATGATGCCAGACACTGTCATTATAATTTGATGCAGCAGATGTAAATTGGTGGATGAAGTAGGATCAGGGCTAGGATTCCTGTAGATCTTAGATATCCCTTGCAGGCTTTATAAACTTTCCAGGAGTCCTTATATTATCTCTAGAGCAGTGTTTCTCAAAGAAGACTGGCCTGCCTTATGTAGGTCTGAGTTGATGACGATAAGGGAGTTACTCACCTCATGCAGTAACGAGTGTTCTTCAAGATGTGTGTCCCCGTGGGTGCTCCACTGTAAGTGAGGGGTTGCCCTGAGCTGCAGATCGGAGCTTTGTATAGCTGTTTCCCCTGTTGAGCCACGCATGCCCAGGAGGCGTCTCAAGCCCTTCCCACCTCCTGAGGAGCGCGGCTCAACTCCCTCCCTTTCAGTTCCTCGTCTCCGCCCGAGAATTTTGACTCTGAGCAGAGGGGAGGTAGGGAGGGTCGTGGAGAACCCACGGGGACACACATCTCGAAGAACACTTGTTACTGCACGAGGTGAGTAACTCCCTTTTCTTCTTCGAGTAGTGTCCCCATAGGTGCTCCACTGTAGGTGACTACAAAGCAGTATTCAATGTAAGGCTGGAGGGAGCCGGAGTCATAGTTTAGCAGTGATAGAGAGTACTGCTGTGGCAACTGATGAATCACTCTTGAGTTGTGGAAGGATAGCATAGTGTTTAGCAAAAGTATGGTCTGAAGACCATGTTGCTGCCCGGTAAATGTCTCTTAAGGGGACAGTGCCAAGAAAGGCTGTAGAGGTAGCCGTGGCTTGGGTGGAATGCGCTAGTGGTGGGCGCTGTAGCGGTCTATTGCCTAGAGAGTGGCACTTGATTATACATGTCGAGATCCATTTTGAGATTTGTTGCGATGATATTGGTGCCCCTTTTGATCGTTCAGGGATGGAAATAAAAAGTCTTTCAGATTTACGAAATGGTTTTGTTCTTTCTAGGAAGAAGGCCAGAGCCCTCCGGATGTCCAGAGTATGCAGGGTGACATCTCTCTGTGAAGAGTGTGGTTTTGGGAAGAAGGTAGGTAATATGATCGGTTCGTTGAGGTGGAATTCCGTACAGACCTTAGGCAGGAACGTCGGGTGTGGTCTAAGTATGACCCTATCCTTTGTGAAAACTGTGTAAGGGGGTTCCAACATTAGTGCTGCAAGTTCACTCACCCTTCTGACAGAGGTGATGGCTAAGAGGAAGCAGACTTTCATAAAAAGGAAGGGAAGTGGTATTGTTGCCAATGGTTCAAAGGGAGGTCTGGTCAGGTAGTCCAAAACAAGATTTAAGTCCCACAAAGGGGGTGGGGCTTTATATGGTGGATACACATTTTGGAGTCCCTTGAGGAACCTCTTTGTGATAGGATGGTTAAAAATGGAGAAGCCATCCACCGAGGTATGAAATGCTGCTATTGCAGAGAGGTGTACTCTTAGAGAAAAAATTGACAGTCCCGATGTTTTAAGGTCCATAATGTAATCTAGGATGGTATTCAGTGGAGAAACACAGGGTTCCACTTTGGCTCGTTGACCCCAGTGAGAAAAACGTACCCATTTCTGCTGGTAGGTTTTTCGTGTGGATTGCCTCCTGCTATGGAGGAGGATGTCTTTTACTTTCTGCGAGCAGCGGTCTTCTATCTCTGAGAACCAGAAAGAAGCCACGCCTGAGGATTCAGGGTATGGAGTTGGGGATGTAGTATCCTGCCATTGTCCTGAGATAATAGGTCTATCCGGTATGGTAGAGGCTGGGGAGGCTGGATCGCTAGCTTGTAAAGGTATGGGTACCAGGTTTGGCAAGACCATGACAGGGCAATCAGGATGACTAGGGCTTTGTCTCTCAGGATTTTGCGTAGGACTCTTGGGATGAGAGGTATGGGGGGAAAGGCATAATCTAGGGGGGCTGCCCATTTGTTTAGAAAGGCATTCCCCAGAGAATGGTTGCCAAGTCCCGCACATGAGCAGAATTGGGGACATTTGGTATTCTGCAAATAACTTTGCAGATGTTGACATAACAATGTCATTAATAATATAACCACACAATGGATTTTAATCATATCCAAACGGGAGAATTGCCCTCCCCCAATTAAGTTTCTGAACAATCATGATTAATGGTAACACACACACAATTTGGTTTGTAAACCTGAAACATGCTTACACATTTTAGTGTTTAATTTAGTTCCCTTGTCTGCTTCCAGGGAAATGTCTGGTCAGCAGTAGCAAGTGCAAAGCATTGTTTTTATATGTTTTACTTGTTTTCTAGAAAAGTCACATCTAAAAAAGTACACAAGTACCAGAGGAGGAATTCTATTACTTACACTTTCTCTTTCTTTCTAGGGTAAATTTAATGGCATAAGAACAGAGTAATTAAAGAGTTCCTACCCGCAAAATTTCTTCAATACAGCTGTTATCTCCTGTCCCGCTATCCTGTAAACAAAGACGAAAATATTTTTTAAGTAAGAAATAACAAATGGCAGGTTTGAAGACATGGCATTGGCAGACAAATTTGTTTGTCCTACTTCTGTATGTTAATAGCAGAGTTCTTTTGGAAGACCATTCTGAGAGCAGACCCATAATATAATAACCAAAGTAGCACACTTCCTGGCAGAGTGGAGGGAGGGTTTGAATTCATATCCTTTGGAAGCGTGAGGGGGTAACAATATCAGAATTAAGACAGTCATATACAAGCAGAGAATAATTTATGTTTCATAAATTTTTGTGGCTGTTATTTCATGCCAGGTTATGGGAACTCATGAATCTTTTATTGTCAAGACTCCTGGAAAATGCTGCTGAATATGGACCTTGGTTATTAAACAAATGAATTGTCCTTAACCCTTTTGCTGTAATATAGTTTGTCATCTTAAAAGCCAATAGGAGTTATGCCACCGATTTCAACAGAAAAAGAACTAGGTGCAACATAAAGCGTCTTTCTAGAATTACTCATTGTTGACAAATCACTGGTTAAAAGGTACTACAAGCAATTGAAAACAGACCCATTCTGAACTCATCATTGCAACAGATTACTCAAAGAATGTAATATGCTGCTTTTGTTGTTACTGGTGGAGTAACAATAAAACAGAAATATAGGTAGTCCCCGGCTTACATGGATCCAACTTACATCGGATCCCTACTTACATACGAGGTGAGGCAACCCCACACTAGCTGCTTCCCCCCAGTAGACCAGGGAGACGCGAAGCTAGCGTCCCCCTCCCCCCCAGCAGACCAGGGAGATGCGGAGCAGCTTTTCTCAGCAGACACCTAAGCTTGAGAATAAAGGACTGAGGGAAGTGAGGTGTAGGAGAATAAAACTGAGCTCTGGAGAAATGTTTGGCTAGAGTTTCCCCTACAATATGTACCAGTTCCGACTTACATACAAATTCAACTTAAGAACAAACCTACAGTCCCTATCTTGTACGTAACCCGGGGACTGCCTGTACTTGATGCTGCTAATAAAGAGAACTAACAAGAAAAAAACACACACATGAAAAATCACAAAATACTGTGGACTTTCTTCCTCCCTCCCCCATTAGCTGATTTGTTTTTCTCCTCTCCCTAGATCCCCCCCGCCCTTTAAAAATAAAAAGCCATTCTATGCTTCATGACATCAACATCATGAACAGTTGAGCACACAAAGCCCTCCTGGCACGCCACGGGCCTTGTTTGCAGAGCAGCAAGTCAGATGCCCCCACCAAAAGTCTACAATTCATATTTGCGCTGGTTTTATATAAGAAGGCAGAAGATGTCATCTTCTTTCTTAACGTGATTTCCTGCCCCCTCCCCGCCCCCGGTGTTGCTCTACTGTTAAGATCAAAATACCAAAGGTAAATAGATTAAATTTGCTCATAACTCAATTCAGAAATATCTATTTTTGTGTTTTAATATTAAATCTTTCTCCTCCGAGTATAATAAAGTACATTTGAAAATATTCACTTGTAACAGATTCGTCCTTTCTACCACCATGGAATTAAGCCAAAATATTGTTCCTTGGCCCATTACACTTCAAGGCAGAAAATAAAAACACTTTACTCCTCACAATTATATCTTGATCCAAGTGACCTGATAGTCTTCTAATGTGTGATAATGAAAGAGAAACACAAGGTCCAGGCAAACAGAGGAAAATAAGGAAACGTTATTTGGAAAAAAATTGGTGTCCCCTTTTCTCTTTATAACAGTCTCATTCCATGATCTTGCCCTTTTAGCACCATAATACCACACCAATACATGTGTATCTAGAAGATTACACTACATAATATTTTTTTCACTTTCCAAAATGCCACAGAAATCCACAAGTCTCTGAATTCAAAATGATGAATTTAACTTTGCAAAAATATTTTAATAAAAGATTTACATGGTGGTAAATTCCACCTGCAGTTTGCATCAATAGGTGATTTGTTGGAGGGCTTGCAGGAAGGAGGAACATGTACATATGGTGGTTGTCTTATTAATGTTTATGAATTAAATGGCTTGGGGAGGAAATTATTAAAGAGATTAATCTTATAACAGAATACCAGCTTTTTAAAGATCCTCTGATCTGCTTACACAATGTTCAATGACTTTTTATTATATTTAGAGTTCATATTGCACACTGCTGCATAAATGTAACCCCCCAAATATGGAATTATGGCATAATGAAATATGAATTGTCCTGTAATGGAAAAACATTCATACCAATACATACAGAAGAAAAGGGCAAAAAAGGCAATAGATACTCAGAAATATGGTCACCCTTTTTCATGAACGCAGAGGAGGAGGGCTCCCCAGCAAGAAGGCCAAAATTTTTAAACAGATTCTTTGAATATTAATCTGGTCCTGAATAAGTCAAGTACAATGTAGTAAGTTAACATTTTATTGTAACTTTGCCTTACTACAAAGTTATTGTTTTTTTAATCTATTACTTACATGCAGTAAATACTCAGAGGGGTAGCCACATTAGTCTATAAGTTTAAAGGAACAACGAGTAGTCCTGGAGCACCTTATAGACTTACAATATATATATTTAGAATCATGAGCTTTCATAGGCAAAACCCACTTCCTCAGATGATCAGTAAATGCTATACACCTCTCCAATCTTTCACCTATTTAAATGGATGAATCTGCCCATTTTAAACTGTGTTCAGCTTCTACTATTATGTAAGTGTCTACATAAACACCTACATAAATGCATCTGATGAAGTGCGTCTTTGCCCAGGAAAGCTTATGCTCCAATAAATCTGTTAGTCTATAAGGTGCCACAGAACTTCTTGTTATAAATGCCTACATGTCCCTGTACCTACATAAATATATAAAAAGAGCCTATAATTTTGAACAATGTAATCATTTCTCCCTCTTTGAAAATGTACATAAAGCAAAAGATGGGCACAATGTACATTTCAATTACTCTGGGTTTTGGGGAGTGGGGTTGTCAGGTTTGTGGGTGTTACTTCGTGCTGAATTGCTGAACTGTTACTAATGTATTATTTATACTAACTTGGATGAACTCATTTGTCTGTCACTATTTTTTTTAAATCTATCACAACAGACTTGCCTCCCTGAACCTCCAATGAACTCCCAGGGAAATGCTGGCAACTCTAGTTCACTTTTATCAAAGGCAGTGGGCATGATTCCTTCAGTTCTCTGATGCTTTTCTCATTACCTTCATTTCTCAGTCAGAGCAGCCCTACACAACACCAAACATTTGTACGAACATGCACACCCAGAGTCTGGCAGGAAAATGTGAGGATCTGCAGCCGAGGATAACAGCACTTATTTCTGCAGAAAGAGCCAGGAGCATCACATCATTGATAACACAAGGAGCTAATTGCCATGCAAAGCACAGAGCACTGTAAGAAACGAAGCTGAATAAAGACTGCACCAAATTCTTGGGACATGGGATGTACTGTAATTGCAAGAAAGCTAAATCTGTATATATTTTATTTTATAATGTCCCTTATTTTTTTCTTACCAACAGCTTTCACAAAGTGATATTAAAAGGAACTTCTATTGAAAGAATGTCCTCTTTATGAGACTTTTCTCCTCCTCTTAAAACCTTACATTGAAAAAAAGGGAGACCCATCTCCCATAGCAATCTAGTTTAAATTTAGGCTACATCTACACTTGGAGCTGAGGGTGTGTTACTCAGCTAACGCCGACATGCTCACACTTGTGCCCATCAAGCCAGCATCCCAAAAATAGCAGCATAGCCATTGTAGCATGGGCAGCAGTGAGTGGCAGCATGGCTGACCCACCCCAAGTATGTATTCATGGGGGAGGGGGGGCAGAAGAGGTAGATGGAGCACTAGTAAGATAAGTGCTAGTGCAAGTATTTCTATATGAGGTGGGAATTACATCCCCTAGCTCCAACTGTAGAACAGACATAGCCTCACCGTAAGAGATTATTATGGCAAAAGCTTTTTATATCATTATTTGTGTTGCATTAAGTACTTCTACTAACTCACCAAAACTTACTGCATTTTGCTTTCAGTGTGAATTAAGACTTATTAAAGTATTTTAAAAGTTGAGGAATACCTAATTTATATCCTTGACCTCTGTCCACTCCGTCTGGGTCCTTCTTGCCATACTGGCATTAAAAGCTGGGCCAGCTTGGTATCTGCAGCCAGCTTGGTGTCAGCTGATGGTACATTTGGGGTCCTTTCTAAAGTGGGTTCTTGACTGCAAGGATTCTATACTCTATTCTGACACTCTTCTGGTACATCACTTTCTCTCAAACTGCCACCCTTCATAAGCACTGTAATTGGATGAAATCATAGGTTCAGGTTACACTACCAAGCAATGGGTAAGATTCTGTTGCTGGAATTCATACATGCAGAGCAAGTTAAAGTTCCATTTGGTAACTGGTGATGAGTGCTTACAACTTGGACTGAAAATTTCTTCTGAAAAAAATGCATGGGCATAAACTCTGTTTTGCTTATCTATCAAAAGCTGGTTTCCATAATCTTCAAGACAGTGGATCATTTCAATGCAGAAAACTTCCAGATTAAAAAAAAAAGAATAAAAGATATCTTGATTGAAAGTACTATAATATTAAAACAACTGGTGCTTTAAAAAAACTGCTTATGGACAGACCTTAAAGACAGTTAAATGTCTAACTCCCATTGAAATCAATATATGGGCTATATAAATAAAATGTACAGAAGAATTGTGGACCAGGATGTTAATGAAATAAAAGGCATCAATTCCCACTACTGAATGAAACTTCAGACTCATTAATATGTTTCATAACAAGTGTTTCCCTCTTCTTGCTGTCCTTCTTCTTGAGGTGTTGCATTCATGCCTACACTCGACATTGCTCATCTCATGTAAAAAAACTATTTCTGCATTTTGATTTAAGGTAGGGGCTACTAGTTATGCCACTAATTAAGTACTTTCCATTATAAGCCCTGTTTTCACTTCTTTACAGGTTTGCAGAATTTCTATTGTGTGGGTTGCAA